TGAAACCGTTACCTAATTGGAAACGTCGAAGAGGGGGTCAACTCAAAACCTGACTCTACTCAGTCCGTCAGGACATAGAAGTGGTTCTTGGACCTTCGGTATTCGGTCTCCGTCGCTGGAGAAGAGGCAGGGTAGAGATCTCCAGATCAGGTGCCGCCAATCTTCACGCAAGGAGAGGTACCGTCCGTGACATCATCGAGGCCGGCTAGATCAGACACGGTTACAGCCGTAACAAGTACAAGTGCAAGAGAGTCTTCGGTTATGTAAGGTGTGGTTGATGTGTGGGTATTGCGAGCTCCGCTTTCGTAAATGCCTATGTGACCGCATAAGACTTTGAGGAGCAACGTTAAACATTAATAGCAGGTAATAGGTTTTTGGCTCAACTGTTTTCAAAAGCACTGGACTAACACTTTTTAAGAACCCCGTCAACATCAAGCATGCAAAGGCTAAAATGTCGAGAAAAACGTTCAGTTACGATATTTGCCCAAATATTCAGCAAGTGGTACATTGTACGAAACTGAGGCTAACATTTTAGGAAAGATAAGACTGCAGATGGGAAAGGGTTTTTAGACTTTTACAAATGCCTAAGCATTCAACGTTAGAAACCACGTGGAATGAATGCAGCAATCCTTTAAAAGAGCAGACCAGGGAGAGATCGAAACGCGGAAAAACGAGCTCCCTTCCGCAATTTACATCAATAATGCGGAAAGCTTCTACAAATTAAACAGATCGAAAAATCTTGCTCTAATGAGAAGTAAATATTAGTACGATAGAGGTGGCGCTTTCGTAGATGACTCCAAAAGACCTACAGCAATGATAATTTAAAAAATAAAAAGCATTCAATCAACCTACACGCGAAACACCGTCGAAGAATGCACTGAAAGGATCCTTGCCAGCAAGAGCAAAATGACGCACGTCTCGAGAGGTAAAGATTTCGGTGTCAGGCGACGAGAGCAGACCATTGTCCACGGAGACGTCATAGAAACGCTCGGTTTTTGCTACAAGAAAGATGTGAATTAACTGAATTTGGCGTTGACTAGAGACAGAATTTGTTAGCTAATTTAGTTTGTGTTACGGTGGAAAAGAAGTTAACTTTAAACCAAAGGAAAATATTGAAACGATAATGTTGTGTCGTCCTTTTAGTAGGTGTAAGGATATAAAAAATTGTGAGGCTTAAGGTGAGAAGTTAAAAAGTACATCGAATAGGAGAATCGAGGCGATATGGCCATAACTCTTCAAAATCGACAGCTCACATATCTTATTCGATCGCAATGGTACATATTTCCCTTGCTAGCTGACTTAAATGCTCGTCGTAGTATCTATAGTCATTAAGTGGGCACTAATCAGAAAGAAACCGTCTTTCCAAAAAACAGGAGTATACAGGATCCTATGAGAAGAGGATGTGGAAGCAACTACAGTGCGCTATTGTCCAGCGCCTGAGTGTCCGTCAATGGCTGCACAGAAAACTGGATTCATATACGATTCGGGTTCTGGCTACGCCTAAGGCGCTGAAGCACAGCAAAGTTCACTAACCGGCGCCATCTGGTGCCCGCTGACTGATGATGCCGATCACTTAGTTTTTGGTGATCAAGCAGCCGAGGCTCGGTTTACGAGCCAACTGCTCACATGCGAAACACAAACGAACTGACAACTGATGGCAACGTGTCCTGTACATAAAATACACATACTGCTTCTCATAGCTCCCGGGTATATACTGATAGACGGGGTGGAATTTACCGTGTGCGGTTGCAGCTGATTAGATATTCTTAGTCCCTAAAATAATATATTCTTTTAGCGACCAATGAATTGACATTTCCTGTCTTCAGCGATTACACTTCTATTGAACTTTCTGCAATAAATGTGCATTATATACTATGCAAACAAAGGACAAACTGGGCAGCGCCATCGGTTCTGCGCACATTTCCCACAGACTGTGGGAGATGTTATAAAATATAAAAAATCAACAGTAAGTATTACCTAGTAAGCACACGTCACAGAACCGCTCCTTGTTTTTGGACTTATAGAGTGAGACATGGAAATCAATACCTGAATGTTCCAGTCCTAAAAGTAAGAACTCTGGGAGGAACTTTACCGGATCCAAAGGCTGAAAACACAGCATATAACGAATCTGCCTCGATCAAAACCACACAGCTGGAGAAAAGAACAATCAGCTATAACCGTTGAAACAGAAATCGAAACTTACTGATTCACAGAAACGAGTGCATCTTAATGCCAGGACCGGTGACTTTTCAATTTGGAAAACAATTTCGCAATTCCTAAACTACTC